AATGCGACAAGTGGGGGGATTAGCGCAGCAGGGAATTTTTACGCACGAGCGAGGAAGCAGAAAGGGCCGTAATCCCTAGGATTATTCAACAATTGGATGCAAAGTTGTAAGTATTCGTGTCATTTTAAATTGTGAGTACATTACTAAATAACAAAACAAAATACAGATTACAAGATGATATAATAATCTTATAATAAGCGAATGCTTGAGAGTAACTTTTAGGCTATTTTGTTTATAAGAGGCAACAAATGAGTTAGATAACGTTGCATAACAATTTAGAAGAAATTGTGTAATTATGGGATCTAATAATATTTTGAAGCAAATTAATTTAAAAATATATGTATTTAAGAGAATATTTATTTAATGAAATATATTTTAAGAGAATATTTATAACACTTGTTAACAGTTAAAAAAGTATTGTTAAAGAACGAAAATGTGCTGCTCGTGAAACCATAGTAGGTTATTGTTTGGATTGATTATAAACGAGGCAGTGGAAATTTGAAATACAGGTTGATTCAAGAATTAAGACACCTATGTCATGCAAGTTGTCCTTTTCATGTTTGTAAATGGAAGTGAATTATTGTAATAATTTTAATTTTTAATGTTAATTACTGATACTAATATGTGTTTTGCCAGTATTGCGAAATAGGGGCATCTTCATTAGTTGCACGTGTATAAGACTTCATTACATTGATTTTTGTCGTTACAACTGCATATTTAAAAAGATAGTACTCCAAAAGTAAATTAATACTCTCAAAAGTAAATAATGTAAATAACATGTAGAAGCATTGCACTCTTCTTGAAAGACGGAAGGAGCTCCCGGAAAGAAATATCCACCAATAAGCTTCGAAAAGCTCTTCTGCGCATCTCGATACTTTTTCGTGTGAAACGTCCGTCTAGATAAATAACAAAATGTTGTCGCTCCTTCAATTTCTGTTGTTCTGAGCAAACAAATGAATGAACAACAATACACGATATGTTACTCGAAAATAAACGCCAGCCTCGAAGTAAATTAAAGAACTTGAATAGATTGTGTTCTTTTTAGTAAACTAGTTCCTTCAGAACCGCCAAATATGAAGCCCTGAGTTAGAAGCCTAGATTGCCATCGGAAGGTAAATATTGAATAGCAGAAGGAAAATACTCAAAAAGAATTTCTGTTGAAACATTATTGTGTTGAAAAAGATGCAAGAAATTATAAACATAACCACTTCATATTCTAATATATCCCTGGAAAACTACCCGAAAATCACGTAAACTAAACAGAAAGAAACATGAAGAAGAAACTCAGATTAGCTTGTTTTAATTTTTTTTATAGTTCTTGTCTGCTTTTCCGACTAACTATGTAGTAGTAATTTGTCACAAGACTGCAAAGTAATAAAAAGATGGGAACTGTGCGTTTACGTCTGAGTTTAAGGCAAGGGACTATCCTGGAGTACGCCTCAGGCGATTGAGTTTACTGAGAAAAATATCAATCAGAATCACCGCTTTGAGCGGAAACAGAAAATACAAACAGCCCAAAGATAAGAGAACTCTACTCTTCGCTTAATGAGCGGCATGACCAACACCGTGAATATCTGGGCGGAAGTACGCAAATAAGGAAACGCTTTTCAGAAGTGGCATAAAGAGAGATGAAACTCCCTGGAAAGAAATATGCACTAATAAGCTTCGAAAAGCTCCTCTGCGCATCTCGATGCTTTTTGGTTTGAAACGTCCGTTCAGCCTCCCGGTGCTGACTACCTTTCGTGTCGGCTGCCCGCATTATTCGTGTTCTCTGAAAAAAGGATAACGCTTCACAAAGGGGCATTCACCAAGAACGTGCTTTCTGTTTGGCCAAAAAAATGTGCTTGTGAATCAAGCTTGATTTGGTTGTGATCAATTCCAAAATCTCCGTATGTAATGTTACGCGCCGACGGGCCAGGATCAAGCTTAATTTTACTTGATTTGTGGGAAGAAATGTTACATTATATAAGCTGCAATTTGCAAGCAAGAATAACATATGTCCATTTTTTTTTGTAACTTGTGAAATATGTTGTTTAATTTATTCACAATCGCATTTTATGTTTCATGCGGTATGAAAGTATTCCTGTACAATATAAAATTCCATATATCCTGCTGAGTTAGCAAGGTGGTCGGTTTTTCTCATTTCCCACAAATTGGATTTTTGTACCAATGTTTTTCCGAGAAGCCCTTCAATTGTCGAACACTGTAATTACTTGGGGCCTACTTCTCCTGGCAAGATATTACTCGCAGACGTTCTTTGCAGCATGGAAACTTGAGAAACATCCCTTCTTAAAGATCCGTCCCGCAAGATGAGCTGCGGAGAAGCGGAAAAAAAGGAGAGGCTTGAAAGCATGCATGTCGGACGCAGCGCTGGCCAGGCCGAACGAGGAGTTGTGGGGGTGGGGGTGCGCGTCTCTCCGCCCCGCCCCGCGCTGCCAGCCTGCCGCCAGCGCTTCTTTTGTTTTGGGCAACGATCCGCTGGGCGTGTGGCCACGGGGAGCCTCCGGCCTTCGCTTCCTCTCTCTTCTCTTCTCTTCCTTTCCGTCTCGGTCGTTCCGCGCCCACACGCTCTTCCACGCTTCCGTTCGTCGGAATTCACGTCCGTTTGACCTGTTGTAGGGCACTTCACTTCCGTTCGTCGTGTTTTTAGCGCGCTTCTCATCCGTGCGACCTCTTTAAGAATAATTTACTTCCAGTCGCCCTGCGGGCGTTTAAGCGCAATTTATTGTCGTTCGACCTGTTTAAGCGCACTTCATTTCCATTCGACTATGTTAACACTTCACTTCCATTCATCCTCATTAAGCGCGCTACTCTTCCGTTCGTGCTGTTTAAGCGCAATTCACTTCCGTTCCTTCTCTTTTAAGTGCACTTTTCTTGTTTGATCTGTTTAAACTCTGTACATCCTGTTTAAGTGCGCTTCACTTCCGTTCGTCTTTTTAAGCACTTCACGTCCATTCGTCCTGTTTAAGCACACTTATCTTCTGTTTGTCCCATTTCGGCTCAATTTGGTGCGTGATTAGGTGTAGTTAATTTCCGTTTCTTTTACCACTTTACTATCATTTGTTCTGTTCAAGAGCATTTTACTTTTGTTTGTCTTGTTTTAGCGCACTTAAATTACATTTGACATGGTTAAGCGTATTTCGCTTTCGTCAGCCCGGTTTAAGCACATTTCACTTCCGTCCGTCCTGTTTAAGAGCAATTCACGTCCGTTTGACCTTTTGGACTAACTTTACTTTCGTTAGTTTTCTCAAACCACTTTTCATTCCCATTCTTCATGCCCAAGTGCACTTTATCCCGTTCTCCCTAAGCGCTCTCACTTGCGTTTATCCTGTTTCAGCGTTCTTCCCTTCCATTCGTCCTGTTTAAGAGCACTTTACTTCAGTTTAGTCTTCTTTAATGTATCTCACTTCCTTTGGACCTGCTTAAGCACATTTCACTGCCGTTCGTTCTGTTTAAGTGCATTTTACTTCCATTAAGACTGTTTAAGCACATTTGAGTCGGAGAAAACAAGAAGGTTCGATGCCACATTTTGACAGTTTTAAATTAACAATGGGAAACTGTTCTAAAAATTTAAATTCAATGTTCAATGCATTAAAGTTTGCCCGTTTGTCTAGTTTAGGTACATTTCATTTGTTTGTTCTTCTTAAGTGTGTTTTGAGGAAGAGGACACATTCTTCTACGGTCGCCAAGTGTACTGTGTCCTCTAGAAAATCTCTGAACAGTGTCCAATCCAACATCGTAAATACATTTTATTTATTTTTAATTTTTTGCATATGCGTGAAGGAAGGAAAGAAGGAAAGAAATGCTTTTACCAGTGAACATCGTTTCTTTCCGCGTTCTTAACATTTGAATAAATGGTCAAATGGTCATTTTCAACGTGAAACCAAAAGATACATTTTCGTAGTAAGATTGATGTTGGCCATACACAGTGGTTCAAGGAAAGGTCGTAAGATCATCCTAATATGTACGTTAATGAATGTTTTAACGCACTATGGCGGGCAAAGAAATTGTGGTTCTTAGAAAACATTTTTACAGTTCACAGGACGCTTTTTAAGGTCCGTCATTTGATATTCGTATGCTCCTTAAGGGTAGAGGAGTACCATGAAATGGGTCAAATTATCGACTTTCATTTTTTGACTAAATAAATAGTTTAAACCTCGCTCTCTCCAAATATACCAATATTGTTCTTCCATCACGCCTCAAAGTCCCTTTACTTCATATTTAAATGTAGTAGTGCCCACTAGCTACGTCCATTTTGTGACACTGCGTACACGTATGGCTGTTTTATCGTAATGTTGGGTTATTAATGATTAATTGAAACATATTATTGTACATACGTTGGTAGCATTGGTATTTCTCCGCTGAGAAAGATGATCCATAATATGGTACAGAAATGTTCAAGTAGAGCAGTGAAAAAAACAGCGTTTTTTCAAATGGCGTTTGCCGAAAATGTGCTTAATTTGTAATAAATGTACCTTTTTTCAGAAATTATTGTTCACAATATATTGAAAATTTATTGAAAGTAAATGACATTTTGTATAAACATTCTTCAATAATAAAAAAATCTTTATCAAAAATGCTAAAAAGATTAAAGCGAAAGTCATAATTGAAAAACACACTACTTTTTACTCAACTCAAAAAATGTCAAAATGAAATGAATTACTGTCTTAGAGTGTAAGAAATATCATAATTTTGTAGTTAACCATTTTCTAGAAAAGGTTACAGCAAATTTAACGTGGGCGGTTTATATTTACTCATTAATTGAACAATAGTTTCCATCTGACGGAACGCCACTGGAAAGAAAATGTTGGAGGGGGGCTACTTGACGTCCAGGAGACGCTGCGTCCTAGACACATGTGGCAACCTTTCGACCGCCATTCCGCGACCTTCCTCAGGGCGAAATGCGGCAGGTCGCAGAACGTCGGCCGAAACGTCGGCAACTGCGCCTAGGACGCGGCGCCTCCCTGCCAGTCTAGTAGCTGCTGCCCGCAGCCTCGCTCCAAAGCGTGGGGAGGCGCCGGCGGCGGCCGGCGGCCGGACGCACCTCCCCGTTGAGGAAGCAGTAGAGGCAGGCGATGAGCAGCCCCTGGAAGGAGGTGAGGCAGTGCGTGCCGTAGCTCCACAGCGCGAACTGCCACACGGCGCGCTCCAGCGGCGCCTCGGCCATGTTCACCAGGTTGGTGATGCCCAGCAGCGGCAGCAGCACCAGCGCCGCGCGCACCGCTTTCCTGCCGAACCACCACACGCAGGCATTAGACACTGATTGATTGAGTAGTGATTCTTGAATTGAATTGAATATGCCTTATTTTACGTGGCGAGACTCGGGCCATCAGGCCCGCTCTTCCGCCTGACCACGCAAATTTCGCTACGCTCCTTTCATATAGCAGAGAAATAAGGTATTTCTTGCGCGAGAAACAGGCGATTTGAATTTAGCTCAGAGGCGTCATTTAGGCTTGATGATCTTTCACATGCAAGTAAATCTACGAACATGGGACAGCCGGCTTTACTTCCCCTCCGAAGAAAGGCGTACGAAGGATTTTTTCGCCCTTAAAAATCCACGGCTTCGATCGGGTTTGAACCCGCCAACTTGGGTACAACAGTCCAGTACGCTAACCCACAGTAACTTACACCATCGCCGCGCCATTCTTGGCGCGGAAACTGCTGAAGACATTATACATGTAAGTGTAGTGCATGTTTTCATTGCGTAACCGGGTGTCTCGATCGCCTTTGCTCGCGTTTCGCTCCTGGAGACACTCAACGCATGCTCCGTAAGTGTTGAGCCTCCCCTTCCATCTTCACTCTTCTACGCTCCGACCCCCTGAGACAACCCTCTAATCGATCCGGCTTTTCACCAAAAA